GATAAAGCGCTATATAAGTACAGTCCATTTACCAAATACCATTTAGTGGGAAGTGACACAGCTCAGCCAAATAATACCTAAACACTCAGCTGCCACTTTAATGGGCACACCTAGCTAAAGCTAATGCTGTCTAATGCAACAGTCATTTTCAAGCCATAGATGGTTTTGCACTGATATAAGTGATTTTATAATTTCACAAGACCCTACATGACTTTAGCACATTTTTTAATCCATTTTGCCTTTCATTTTCTAAACTTTTTTCTCCCTAAATGGTAACTCAAGCTGTATTTTATAAGCATTTAACTGAATTGAAAGGGATTGAAAATGATTAAGCTAGTCTCCTTTTAATTCTCCACTTCTGTCCTCAGTTTATGTTTCTCTGCCAGTCCAGACAGCAGTTACTGGGCCTTGGGGGGGCTTTAGTATAAAGATTAGCTATAGCCACTGTTGGCTCCGGCTCTTCTCATCAGCTGTGTTAAGAGATGAACCCCTACTTTCTCCTGAATATGCATTCAGCAAGGTTGTAAATACTCTTTCCATCAGATAATCATAGGACTAAATATGCTAAGTCAGATAGTCAATCTGAACGTAACAGAAGCTGAGGGTTGGTTTGGGCAGAGGCTGTGTCACTACGATGCATCAGCAAATGTTTTCGTCAATTATCCGGGCGTAACTTCCATCAATTGTAAGAGTCTGACAGCAGTTCAAAGTTCTCCTGTGTATTCCTTGTGTTCTGGAGGAATGTCCTCACAACACTGAAAGATGTCCAGTAAGATGTAAGACTGGCAAAATCTGAATTTATCTTAAAAGAAAAGTCCAAGAGGACTGGCTGCAAATTTGTTCGCACTGCAATTTTGCCTCTCTTTGGAAACTAAAAGGTAAAACTAAACTTTTCTAATGGAGAGCGGCGGGTACATCCAGCTGTGGACAAACAATGATCCGGACAGATTCAATCCCCCTAGACTGGAACATTTTTGATATGGAGTGTAATGATTGCAGAGGTTATAAAGCCCTGCAAAGAAACAAGCAGTTTCAAATGATGGATTATGCTCATCAATGCGGCAGTGTGTTTCAGGAAATGTGAGCTGGTTTGAATGTATTTTAAAAACAATGGGACTTCTGGGACACAGAGTGAACCTGCAGCAGAACAGACTGTAACAGCATCAGTTACAGAATCATCTCATTGTTGTTCTGTGGGAATGAGCAGTCCAACTCTGGAGTTTTAGATTGTTCATTAGGGTGGTCCTTAGTGCCATGTACATTTTCAAAATCATTTATTTTAAGCTCCAACCACCGGAATTCGTTATGATAGTCAAGAAAACTGTCCTGGTGAATTTGATTCAAATTCCAACAACATTTACCCCTCCCTCATCAACCTTGAAGTTTCAATCAAAACAAATGACCCAAAAGTCCATTTGTTGGAGCAGATTGGCCAGCGGACCCTAAATGTTGCTAGTCATCAATATTTTACTTTTACTGCCTTACACGGTTCATCCTCCATGCTCTACGGCTGTCAGATGGCTGTCAATGGTGAAACACGTTCATACTTAAATGTGAGAGCAGGCCTCCTCAGTTGGTTGTAATGGTAAAAAAAAAACGTTGTCAAACAAATATATGGTAGCACAAACAGATAATAAAAAGGCAAGCGTGTATTAAGTCTGCAGTGTTGGGTGTAACGCGTTACAAAAGTAACAGAGTTACAGTAATATATTACTTTTTGCGGTAACGAAGTAATGTAACACATTACTAATGAAATATGGGTAATATATTACCCTGTTACAATGCCCAGTAACGCAGTTACAACACATTTTAACCCGAAATTAAATGGCGTTTTGTTTTTTAAGAATGTAACATAGCGAGACATTCCGACACCAGACAAATTGTGCGGGTAGATTAGTAAACCTGGTGTTTACCCTTCAGGCTTCGCGTAGGGATCTTCGGGGCAGTTGAATGTTATTGTTATGCACCCTCTATTCAAAAAAGAGAACGGAGCGAAAAATACAAACAACAAATTGTGTCAGGTACGCGTGACCTGCTCCGCTGCGCGTGCATCATTTCCAAAGTGCTTTCACAGCAGTGACACACATCTGGGGATAATCATTTATACGAAAATGGTTAAAGCAACCATCACTAAACGCCAGCAACACTGCATCTACTGCAGACAGTAGCAACGGGTCAGATGGGGACATCACGTGACCCTCCGTTGTGGACACTAGCTTACTCCCGCCTGACTCGCCGCCCTCGCCCCCGGAGCAGCAGTCTTCGTCATCCGAAACTACGCCGCCCCTCTGCGGCCCGCAGGTGCCAGGGGACCTCGGCAAAACAGAGCCTGCCCAGGTATATCTAAACAAGTACCCGCCTGTACAGTGGGGTTAGGCGGTCATTTCGTGGTATAAAAATAGACTGGCTAGAATATGCATGTGAAAATAGTGCCATATTCTGCCATGTCTGTAGAAATGTTGGGTCACACATAATGCATACAATAGCACAGATGCCTTCACCACGAATGGCTACACAAAGATCTCATATCCCAAGCTTATCAACGAGCTGATGTTGCAGCTGAAATGTTCTCCAGGTCACAAAGTCAACCTCACATGATGATGTGATACCAGTTTTCAAGGACAGTAAATATCCTCTTCCCAGAGTATATGATGGGACCAAGGTGATGATTTAGTACATGGTTTTAATATACTTTTGCTTTTCAATGTTTGCCATTTCAAACCATGAGCTAGTTCAAATAATATGTGCCTTGATTAACAATATGTTCTCATTTGTTTTATCAGTACAGTTTTGAAGCTTTTGTGCTTTTCTTTGCCGTAGTCCACTTTGGACGATATGAGATATTTCAGGATTGCACTTTTAACTCACTTGAAATGTTCTCACTTGCTTGGTTTCAAAACATAACAAATGCCATAATCTGTTCATTGGGACCATCAATGCTATTTTTCATTGCTGTTGCCGGCCACTATTGCTCATGTAAACCTACTACTGCTGCACCCCCTGTAATCTCAGAGGCACCCGGAGTCATTTTGTTCTGGAACCGGGCCTGTACACGGCCATATACTAAACACACTACAGAGCCCATTCCGTGTCCTGTTATTGTTTACTTCCTCTTTGCCTTCTTCTGGTGATTTATCTGACGTCCAGCGCTCCGTCTTTTAACCTCTTTTCCTTTCTCTTTCTTGATCCTCCTTAGCAACCTTCATTATAGTCCTTGACAGTGGTCTGTACTGTATTAACAACGTGTCACATGTTAAGAATTTACAATCAGAATCAAGTATTCAACTAAGCCGTGTCATACAAGTTGTTAGTAGCCTTAACTAAAAAGTAGTGTAACTCATTACATTTCAGACAGTAATATTGTAATGTAACTTATTACTTTCAAAAGACAGTAATAAGTAATATGTAATATATTACATTTTGGAAGTAACTTGCCCAACACTGCTAGTCTGTCATCGGCTGTCAGACGGCTGTGAGTGGTGAAACTCATTCATACAAAGTGTGAGCACAGTCATACTCGGTTGGATGTGCTGGGAGCATTTTTTGTTGACAAATGGCTGCGAGGTGGCTCTGCCAGAATATCTATGCTGGAAAAAGGCACTATAGCCACGTTCACACCGCAGTACTTTTCTTAGTTCCGATATAGTTCCGAAATGTCGCGTTCACACCAAAAAGAGCTGGAGCTAAAATTAATTAATCAGAACCTTTTTTACCCCCTTTTCCGTCCCTGCTAGAGAGCAGGTACTTTCGTGGGAGAAAAAGATTCCTATGTCTGATTGGCTGGGCGGATTGAAAACCACGCCCCGTAAAACTCCCAAAAAGTTTTGGGAAGCCACCATTTTATTATCCTCGCATTAGCATTAGCATTAGCCCAGCGCACAAATGCAGAGAGACTAACTTATGGCAACACAAAAGAAAACATGGGAGTGGTGGAGATGAGGAGGTGTCAGCGTTCTGGTGATTTACTCGGAAGGCTTCAGTAGAAGCTGCTGGGAGTCCCAGCAGCTTCTACTGAAGCCAGTCCCTAACTCCGGGGACTTCCGGCCAGTGACTTCGGGTGGCAGTATACGCCGTGAAGTTGTTTGCGGCCTGCCAGTAAACCCAAAGCAGAAGAAGAAGAAGTGACGTCAGCGGCTTCATTTGCCTAATCCACCCCCAGGGACTTATTCCGGTGTGAACGAGATCTGTACTTAGTTCATGAGAACTAAAGAGTTCTGATGAACTAAGTTCTCATGAACCTTTGTGGGAAAAGTACTGCGGTGTGAATGTGCATGTGGACATGCGGACTCAAGCCCTAAGACAATATTATTTTAATGCTATTTATTTAAAGTTACATTTATGCATTAAAAATGTAAAAATTATAAGCTACTCCTCACTTAAATGCCAAACCATTTTCCTGTGCAATACCGGAGTGAAAAGGAGTAATTAAGGGGCTCTTTGCAATCATTCATGAAGACGCATGATAAGCTGTGCATACAGCCAAGCACTATTTGATTAAAATGAATGGTGGCCAAGGTCTCAAATGGACTAAGGAGCACCCGCTGAAACACTTATTTTCAGCCCCTTATCGTGGAGTGATTTTTCACTTGTCACAGATCCAAGAAAATCTAGCAAAACTTTTCTTTTTTTATCAGGACTTTGTTCCACAACATATTCAAGGGATTTAAGGCTGCTTTAGAAAATACTTTGCTAACTTTGCTGAATCAAAAAAGAGCGAGCTACTGTATCGCCCCTGAGCCTCAGTGGATTTAGTAGATGTTCGCTCAAATAAATTCAAATGTTTCTCTACCCGCAGGAATAGATAAATGAAATGTTGTATCTTTCAAACAGCAGCAAGTTATAATCTTTGTTATGAAGCAATCACAGACCAGCTGAACTTTTTAACTAGTTATATTGAGGTTTTACAGGCAGAAAAGGCAGCATGTTTGCACCTTTGAGGGCAAACATCTGTTCCAATCTGTACCTGTGTTTTGTTGTTGTTATATTTATCAAAAACTCACCTTCCCGTGAATCCTCGCCCCCAGGGGGAGTCTCCGCGTTACCAGAGAGACCAGAATACAAAACATTGCTGAGGATAAGGCGACGGCGGCGAACACGAGTCCCCAGGAGAGGCTGCAGAAGTAACAGGAGCTCTCAGCAGATGTGCACACCAAGACGTGCACCGAGGCGAGCAGCAGGCACATGAGGTAGAAAGGCAGCGAGAGCAGAGCTGAGAGAACAGGAAGTTCCACCGCTGCGTCACCGCTCAGAGCCTCGGGCATAGCCAGCAGTAAGACAAGCAGGAGCTTTATGGCCGGGAGAGAAGAGGAACTTTGATCACTATTGGTTCAACTTATACAACCACAGAAACCCACAAAAAACAGACCATTTCTTTATTTTGGTAGATGACAGCACTGCTATCTAATCTGGACACTCATTAAGTATAATAGAGTGAGTCAGTACATGTTTAAAGTTAGGTAAGGGGTTTGTAATATTATGATGAAAGCGTTTGGGAGCAATGTGGGGGTTCGCTGTACTGGATCCATTTGGGATTTGAACTCTCCATTCTCAAAGCCAAGGCCATACAGCTACTACTGTCCCATATGTACAAATTGTTGTATTTTTCATGCAGTGCAATTACATCCAAAGACACCAATAGATGCAAATCTGCGCTAAACGTAGCATGTTAAAAATGGAATGTTGACATTTTCCTGACTTAACTGTCCTTCTGACTTTGCTGAATCAGAAATGGACGAAAATGGTTTAGCAGTCAGTCGGCACCCGTTCTCAATAATGAACATCTTAAATGCCAGTGAGTTTTAATAATTTGAAAGTTACACGGCAAGTAGATATCTTTGTGTATCAACAATAATGTCGCTGGCTTTTATGCCAAATTACAATGACATTTTCAGGAAAATGCTCTGATTATTTGACTAATCGATCAGTCATTCGACAGGAATATAATACCCTCAGTGGTTCAGTACTTTTCATGCAAACATGTCAGAAAATGTTATGCGTCATATTATCCACTCTTAAATATGGAGATTTCCGGCTTTTCTCTGTTATTTCCTGTTATACTGAATATCTTCATCAGATCAGACAAAATAAGACAAAATAAGACATTAAAATACATCGAAGAAGAAGAAGATTCAACTTATTGTCGTTACGTAGTACATGTACTATGTAACGAAACGCTTTCTCTGCATTTGACCCATCCTAGTGTTAGGAGCAGTGGGCTGCCATTATGTACGGCGCCCGGGGAGCAGTGTAGGGAACGGTGCCTTGCTCAGGGACACCTCGGTAGCACTTGGTCTTTCCGGGAGTTGAACTGGTGACCTTCCAGTTGCCAAGCCAAGTCCCTATCGACTTCGCCACCCACCGCCCAATAAATCAAGGAATGTAAAAAATGTATCTGCAGATTAATTGATGATAACATAATAGTTAGGTGCTGCCCTAAACTATCCAAACTCCATGACCCAGTAGTAAAGCTCCCGAAAATAATATAAACAAGAAAGATGGTCAATCAATCTTACCAAAGCTTTTTCCTTCTAGCTTTTTTATGAAAACTACACTGCTAGGAACATTTCCTTCTAGACATTTCCTCATAGACCAGTGCTAAGGATATATTAAATTGTGCTGCACTCACCTGGAACACAAACACCATGCCTGCGATCATGGAGTACATGTCGTACTTGCCCAGCTGTTTGCTGAGAGCCGAGCTCATGGCAGCCAGGGCTTCCACATACTGCTTCAGGACCTTTTTGCCCATGTTGCTGAGCACCTCAGAGGTGTTGCCCTCCAGGAAGAGCTTCATCCAGCTCCCATGAGCCTTTTCTGCCACGCGGAACTGCTCGAAGCCTGCCTCTGGAATCAGACAGGGGACATCTGTATCAACAACTGGCAAAGTAGACTTAGAGGGAGCATTAAAAAGGATTAGTTGATTTTATGTTTGCTGTCATGTACTCAAAGACTTAAAACTTCTTGTTAGAACTTTTGCATTCATATAGATTAGTCAAAATGAGGACATTCGCAACATCTCATTTATGAACTCTATGGGTTTCCCGACTGGTGTCACATATATTTTGCACTGTTTATTTGTCCGAAAATATCATCTTTCAATTTAAAGTATCTCTGATACAATCTCTGATTTTCAATTACGGTACTTAAGATACTTACATAATCAAACATTAAAGAGGCCCTATTGTGCTTTTTGGGGTTTCCCCTCTCCCGTAGTGTGTTGTATAGTAATAGGTTTCTTTGCATGTAAATGGTCTGCAAAGGGTAAAATCCCAACATTTCCTCCAGAGGGAGTTTCTCTCCCAAGCACTTCCACCTGCTTGAAATGCCTCAATTGGACTCCTTTGTTTACTTCCATAACATAGGGACATCACTATATAACACTTGCAGTTCTATTGGCTAGTGCTCTGAGACATGATAGGCTAAGGGGCGGGACATCTCGTAGTGGTTGACCGATTATAACAGAGACGGCCAGCTAACCATTCAGAGCAGAATAAGCTTGGACTTCACAACAGAAGAGCTGGTAGAAATGCCCATTCTTTACTATTAGCTTAATAAAAAAAAAAAACTGAAATCATAAAGAAGTGAAAAAAGCAAAGGCATAGTGTTTTATCTCACAGAAAAGGTCTCAGAGTGCTGCCTATCTTGCTGTATTTCATCATAAAGAAAATAAGGGCCTTTTTTATTACCAATTGTTTCCTTATGAATGAGAGTCCACTAATCATATTAGACATCAATCATTCTGAAGCATGTTGGATGGTTTGAATGGAAATCTATTAACTTTCTTGTTCTGGTTCCTGTGTCGATAATGTTACTTAAATTGAAAAGATAATAAAATGCCCGTGGTAGAAAAACATTTAGTCCTGAAAAAGCAATGTATAATTTGTCAGGATTCTAACGATGACAAGCTATGACTCATTCACATGTTTACTCAAAGCAGACAAAATGGTGCCTGCTTTCATTTGACTTCAGTGCGTTAGGAACCTGCTCAAGGACACACACACACACACACACACACACACACACACACACACACACACACACACACACACACACACACACACACACACACACACACACACCACACACACACACACACACACACACACACACACACACACACACACACACACACACACACCACACACACACACACACACACACACACACACACACACACACACACACACAACACACACACACACACACACACACACACACACACACACACACACACACACACACACACACACACACACACACACACACACACACACACACACACACACACACACACACACACACACACACACACACACACACACACACACACACACACACACACACACACACACACACACACACACACACACACACACACACACACACACACACACACACACACACACACACACACACACACACACACACACACACACACACACACACACACACCCTATCACATCAGCATCAGGCATAGGGGTGATAAATAGTGAGTGTGGCTTTGCCAGACAGAGGGGTTGGTAGAAATATTAGAACCTTAAGCCACAGGCATGAATCATACAATATCGATGGCCCCGGCCATGTTTCATCTGTCTAAGAGAACAGGGATTGGTTAATGGCTCTCCGAGATGCGTGAGGTTAGAAGCACATATCAAAAAATATATATATATGAAGATTGAACAAGGCAGACAGTGATGGATCTAGAAATTAGTTTTATGATAAGAGTCAAAAGCTACCCCTCCCAGTGTTTCCCACAGGATTTTGTGAGAGTATGGTGGTTGGACTTTGGACCCTAGCAGTGTCACGGTACATTATTTTAAAGCATCATTCTGGTAAACGTTGAGAGCATAATGCTTAGGTGGTTAGTGTTAGATTTATGAAGAGCTTTGTGTTCTTGTACAACATTTGGGGTTTTTAATTGTGTGCCCAACCTCAGAGAAACAACCAAGCAGACTTGTGTCAGTCATGTGATGGGGCCAAATAATTAAAGCTAACTCAACTTTCCAGTGTGAACACTTGGATAAACCTTATTCAATTATTAGGCCATGACATGATACTAATAGACAAATCCAGTTGATTGTTCCACAAAAACCTTTTACCCACTGACCTAAATTGGGAAATTAGGTCGTTGTATATATATGTATCGCTTAAACCAACTTTACAGTATGAATAATTGGATAACCTTTTTAAATTACCGGTTGAGACGCAGTAGCTTTGGGGCGGGGTTTATGGGAAACACAACGACTCTATAGGCCCAATGGTAGTAATCTTAAATACCTGAAGATCCAGGTATTTTCATACTTGAAAGACGGGCCATTTTGTCTTTGTGCACCACTGAGCAAATGACATGGGAATGAATGGGGCCAAGCCTCTAACGCTGTTTCCAGTTATCTTTAAACGTCCATGATTCAGAATGAAAAACGTTGAGAGAACAAAGCTTGTCCCAAAATGAAATGTAACCTTTTTAAGGGTCAACTCTCATGGACACTGACCCTAACCCCTTCGAAAGATGGGCCAAATTGGAGTTGTGTTTACAAACTACAACTGACAAGTCCTATTCATTGGGCCTTTGAATTGGGTTTTGGATAATGCACGATATTAATAAACTTGGTGCTATATACCGCAGGACAATAAATATGTATATGTTTGGTTACACCATTCCTCTGTGTTCGCGAAATCACACACCATGATGAGGGCAGATATTGATGAAGACAGTGAAAAATAGAGCAGAGCTGTGTACTGAGAATATCTATCAAGGGTTATTAGAGAAAACAATCTGGAATGAGATGTATCGGATTGTAAAAGAGGGGTCTAGGAGTCAGAAAATTCAAACTGTTCCCATTGGGAAAAGTGAGCTGACTTCAATTACTTTTACTTTGGATAAAGTTATTGCAATATAGATTTCATTGAGCTAACAGAGGGATTAAAAACATAAAATAAACAGCATTAAAAAAAGAAACAAGGCAGACAGATAACGTGAAGAGAGATGTGCTGGCAGAGCAAGGTTGTGTACACTTTGTATTACCAGAGTTGAACTTGAAAAAAACAAACTTGAAAGTGTCACTTTCATTGTTTGCAGGTTAGACAAAAGATAAGCGAATGCATAAACAATAGGGAAAAGTCCTAAATATATCCAATTGAGAGGAATAAATAACTTGACAATTTCTGAGCATTAATACTATTTTGAATTTTCTTTAAGACAGTAGGCACATTTATTTTTAAAGAAAAACTTTTTTTATGTAAAGTTTGACCCCAACAGGTGTCCATCCTGCATTCTACTTCAAATATCATCCCAGGCGAAATTCCCAGCAGTGACAACTATGACATTCTGCATAAAAGCTTCATGATTACCCAAGTGGACTGATTAAAAAAAATCAACGCATTCAAAAATGTAGGTCTTCTGAAATAATTTCCATTTCATTCCATCACTATGGAAACCAGGGACCAAAATAGAGTAGAACATTTGCTGCGAGAGCGTTTCTTTTAATGGGTAAATAAGAAGTTAGTTTAAAATCATGTTTGGAAAATGCAATGGTTGTTGTTTAGCGTATTTGCCTGTTAGTGACACAACACATTTAGACAACATACTCTACATTTGGCTAACAATTCAGCATAAGAAGCATTAAAAAAAATGAGTACTGAAAATTTGACCATTATGCAAATGTCTGAAGGCCCTGTGACGGCACAAATGTGGTTAAATAATACGTGTTAAATATAACTTTTTAAGATAAGTAAAGTACACTGAACAAAAATATAAATGCAACACTTTTCTTTTTGCTCCCATTTTTCATGAGATGAACTCAAAGATCTAAAACATTTTCTATATACACAAAATAACCATTTATCTCAAATATTGTTCACAAATCTGAAAAAATCTGTGATAGTGAGCACTTCTCCTTTGCCGAGATAATCCATCCCACCTCACAGGTGTGGCATATCAAGATGCTGATTAGACAGCATGATTATTGCATAGGTGTGCCTTAGGCTGGCCACAATAAAAGGCCACTCTAAAATGTTCAGTTTTATCACACAGCACAATGCCACAGATGTCGCAAGTTTTGAGGGAGCGTGCAATTGGCATGCTGACAGCAGAAATGTCCACCAGAGCTGTTGCCCGTGAATTGAATGTTCATTTCTCTACCATAAGCCGTCTCCAAAGGCGTTTCAGAGAATTTGGCAGTACATCCAACCGGCCTCACAACCGCAGACCACGTGTATCCACACCAGCCTAGGACCTCCACATCCAGCATGTTCACCTCCAAGATCGTCTGAGACCAGCCACTCAGACAGCTGCTGCATCAATCGGTTTGCATAACCAAAGAATTTCTGTACAAACGGTCAGAAACCGTCTCAGGGAAGCTCATCTGCATGCTCGTCGTCCTCATCGGGGTCTCGACCTGACTCCGGTTCGTCGTCGTAACCGACTTGAGTGGGCAGATGCTCACATTCGATGGCGTCTGGCACGTTGGAGAGGTGTTCTCTTCACGGATGAATCCCGGTTTTCACTGTTCAGGGCAGATGGCAGACAGCGTGTGTGGCGTCGTGTGGGTGAGCGGTTTTCTGATGTCAATGTTGTGAATCGAGCGGCCCGTGCTGGTGGGGTTATGGTATGGGCAGGCGTATGTTATGGACGACGAACACAGGTGCATTTTATTGATGGCATTGTGAATGCACAGAGATACCGTGACGAGATCCTGAGGCCCATTGTTGTGCCATTCATCCACGACCATCACCTCATGTTGCAGCATGATAATGCACGGCCCCATGTTGCAAGGATCTGTACACAATTCCTGGAGGCTGAAAACATCAAAGTTCTTGCATGGCCAGCATACTCACCGGACATGTCACCCATTGAGCATGTTTGGGATGCTCTGGATCGGCGTATACGACAGCATGTTCCAGTTCCTGCCAATATCCAGCAACTTGGCACAGCCATTGAAGAGGAGTGGACCAATATTCCACAGGCCACAATCAACAACCTGATCAACTCTATGCGAAGGAGATGTGTTGCACTGCGTGAGGCAAATGGTGGTCACACCAGATACTGACTGGTTTTCTGACCCCCCCAATAAAGCAAAACTGCCCCTTTCAGAGTGGCCTTTTATTGTGGCCAGCCTAAGGCACACCTATGCAATAATCATGCTGTCTAATCAGCATCTTGATATGCCACACCTGTGAGGTGGGATGGATTATCTCGGCAAAGGAGAAGTGCTCACTATCACAGATCTTTTCAGATTTGTGAACAATATTTGAGAGAAATGGTTATTTGTGTATATAGAAAATGTTTTAGATCTTTGAGTTCATCTCATGAAAAATGGGAGCAAAAACAAAAGTGTTGCGTTTATATTTTTGTTCAGTGTAACTATGTATATAAAGTAAATGTGGAAAATGTAATCTTAGAGTTTAGAAACATGATAGTAGCTTTGTGACGTCTTTAAGGCGCTGTGGTTCTTTGAGCTAAATGCTAATGTCATCATGCTAACAATAACAATGCTATTAGTGCATTCCATTTGAACTGGGAAGTCAGCTTTTCTAAGTTCCTAAATACAACCTGAATGCCTTCTGAAGTTGCATTTTAACTTTGAATGTAAGAAAAACCTCTCCACCAACCTTGAATTCGAAGAAGGCTGCTCTGCTCCTCAACAGACGGAAAAACATTACTGATCAAGTGTTTGTAAGCCTTCTGTCTTTTTATTGTCCAATGAGATCAGTCATACTGTACACACAGTGCTGTCCAACCTCTATGTGTAGACATTTTGCTATAGTGTTTACATGCAAAAGATACCTCTTATTCGTTATCAATTATCATGATTTCTTATTATTGAAAGCAATGGCTAACCTGACGAGAACTGATATAGCTCACTGGGTTGTACTAGAACGCGAACAAGTTGGATGTGACATCATTCCCAGCTCTGACTGCTGACTTCTGAGGTAAATCAAAGGCAGCATCACTTTCTGATGCTAAGCAGTTAAGATGATTACGAAGGTCACCATTTTAGTATGGTGTTTCCGCATGCTAAAATGTTTTAATTAGCTCTAAAGTTATAATTTAGCTTTAGTGTTGGAGGTATTTAGTAAAGAAGCACAAGATGTTGGCAGTAGTTATTTCAAGTCAGGGGGTTACCAAAGTGAGGGTGAGTTTAATATCTTTGGTATATTTGACTGTAATGCAAACTAATGTTTGTTGAGACATTTAACTTGAAGTCTCAAATGTCACTCATTAAGAGGATCTACAAAAATGTTAGGATCTTCCTAAATGTAATGGTAATCCAACATAGTTTAAAGTCCGACTGTCCATATACAAACGTCAGGGCCATGTCCCTAGCATTGCTAAAAACTAGTATACAACACTTGGTTGGGCAGATGCTCCGTCAGACTGACTATGACTTACATACGTATTTTAATCTTCTATCCAATTCATATTGACGCTATTTGAAGCTTATCCTACTAATTATGCAGTGAAGATTACACACTGTCTCTCATATCCTGGATGTTAAATTAAATGTGTCCTTTCATGTTTGCTATGGACTTTTTTAGATTTTCTGAGTTGATGTTTTTGTTTATTTCAGTATTCACAAATGTCTCGGTATTAAACGTCAGCTGAGGCCTGTTAGCACCACAAACTATTATTTGGTCATCATGTCAAAAATAATACTCTGTTCGCTATAAAAGTGATCAGTTAAAGAAGGGAGAAAAACATATCTCTTGAAATGCCCAATTACATGTCCAATTATTTGTCAAAAAAGGCAGTTATCAAAGAGTGTTCACTCCTTCCTCCTTCCCTCTGTCACATTTAGAAGAATGACATAAATGACTAACTGACCGATGTAACATGAGGAATGGTAATCTCTGCCATTGTTGTGTGCAATGTTTGTGAAAATGAGGACCAGAGCCAGAGACAGGAGGCAGACAGATGAGAGAATGCAAGATGTATAACTCTGACAAACAGTGTGACCCCGAGATAAAAGTAGGGAGCAGCACACAGCGAAGATATGTGCATGCATTTGCACAAAGAGTGGGCAGCATTTATGTTCAAGAACAGACCTCAGACAGCTTGTACGTCTCCCATGAGGAGTTCTCGCAGCTGTAAGGTCATTTATTCACAAACTTAAAAAAACAAGTAAACAGATTTACATCTTGACACGACAGGAAAAGGTCTTCCTGTTTCTCTTTCAGATACTTTGCTTCTGGTGGGATTAGGTTTAGGTTTTCTTCTACATAAACCTGCTCTAGTATCATATTGTCAGTACAGTATTTATGACAGTTATAGAGGAATTTTAGCAGCAACAAAATTTAAAAACATACCGTAAGATGAAAAATGTGGAGGATTATCAATCTTTATTTTTTTCAATCCGTTAACTAGCATTAAAGACCAGTTTTATCTTCATCCAAAACAAGTTCTAATTTCCAATTGGTGATTTTTGTAATAAAGGATTTCAGTGTTGATGAGCTTTGGTGTGATGCAACGATTGAACTTGTAAGGAGATTCTCTCCTCGTGTTAATCAGACTGCTTCAGGTTAAACACTGCTTTGATGTAGTCGACAACACTGTATGAATAATGAGGAGATGGACTTATAGCAAACCATTTCTGAGCCCATTAAGAGTGTGCCATCTCTGTTTTTCAGCATGCACAAAACTGTGAGTGGAATGCAAATAAAACCATCATCTAAATCAACAATGATCCGCTAAGTCTAAGTCTGAGCTAACATACAGTATGTGGTCTTGATAGCTTATGGGATATATATATATATATATAATATGATGGGGTATTCCCATTTTACTTTCTGTAATAGCTCTTTTTTTCTGGCCACTTGAGGGCAGCACAACATTGACTTATTATCACCTTAAAGAGTAGGGTTGACCATTATGACAAATAGAACGGCTTTCCGCAATTAGCGTTAGTGGTTTTTTTCGGGCCATTTTTACATTTTATTTAGTAAATGTAATGGTCTGTCTTCACAGGAATTCAACTTTGCTCGCAATTCATAGTGAGCGAAAATAGGACCCCTTCGCCATATCACAGCACAAACACCTAATTGCATGGCCATGAATCGCAGACCATTAACAGGCATGCAGTGCTACTTCCACTATAGGTGGGGCTAAAAATGGACTTTAAAAAGGGATACATAGGGATGGCTTACGAGCGATCAATGTTTTTTATCAGGATGTTGTGAGTTTAATGTCCCAGTGCTTAATATCTCAAAAGGTGATTGTTTTTCCAAGCTAGCGAAACTAATGTGTTTTTGAAACAACTGTTTGTTATTTGATGAAATACTGTATTCCCTGATAGCAATCAATAAATCAAATGTTCTAATAAAAATGCATTAATTAACTATTTCTTTAGTCTTTTAGAAAAATATTGATAAGTGCAGCTTTAACTGTGATGAAGTAAACATCAACATCTACAAGTAGAAGGTCACTGAGCTCATGTTACTTTTACAGTGCATATGCAGCTACCTGTCACACATAATAATGTATAAGAGGTAGTTAGCAGAATCTTGAATATCTGCTGGACTTTTATTCTTTGGCATTTCAAAAAGATGGCTTTTGACGTTTAAGAAGGAGTAATGGGAACTGACCTGTTATGAGTTTGCCAGTTCTGACAGATTCAATAGAGTAAGAACAAAATGGCTGTAAAGAACTCTTTCTGAAATTGAACTGTCTTCCCTCTATTGGCATTGCTCACACCGCTGTGTACATTAACAAATGCAGCCACTGATCCCACTGCGGACTCACTTTCAGAGGAGGTGGCGACTTTCCGACCTTCAGTGTGTCCAAAGGTTGGACACAGGGAATTTGTAAACCTACCTTTTTCATAATCGGGTACGCTGTCTTTGAGCAGGCAGCTGAGCTGGTGGCCATTGAGATGCAGGAAGCGCAGCTGGTCTCGGAGTGAGGTCTCCTCCAGGACGCCCGGGATGACGCGGCCCACGCTGTTCAGAGATATGGGCAGGCCAAGGCCCAGAGCCAGGGTCGGAGGCAGGTCCACTTGCTCCACCACTCCAGGCTTCTCCATGCCCGCTGAGACCACAGGGCAGAAACACAAAAAAGAAAAACAGTGAGGATCCTTGGATTTCATTTTTCTAAGATTTAAAGCAGTTGTTTTGAAACTCATTTGGAGATTTGTGGATTATATCATTTAATCAATTAGACAAAAACATTGCATGAGAGTATGTCGACTAATATTTTTTGAGGAGAGCACTGATATCTATCCTCTTTTTTATGTAGTTTGGTGGTATTATTGATTTGCTGTGTTGTTTTCTAAAGTTCACTTGTCCATCAGTCTGTACACAATTCATGGAATCTGTTCAAACTGAATGTAAAAACTATCACTCTTCTTTATTTAATCCAAAAAATAGTCTAAATGTAATGCCAGTGGATTGTTCCCTTACAAACCTGCAGTGTCAGAAACAGAAAATGAAAAAGCTCTCAGACCAAATGTTGAATCTCTACTGTGTTACATCAATCAGTGATGGGTAAAATAATAAGAACACAAGTCACATTGTATTACTTAGCAATTCAAACACAACAAACTATTGACATGATGGACACAGAGAAATTGATCAATTTTCAGCGTGTCTGATGTGGAAATTCACACAATAAGAGCTTGTCTAAAAGAATTTGACAACACTCATCAAAATAAATGTAAAAAAGGATCTCCTTTCCCTAAAGTCATAAACATGACAACAACACTAACAGTGAAGAATCCCACGTATTTTTGTTATTTTGAAGTTGGGGATTATGTATAATGCATTTGACTGGGACATATCACTCTAATCTCAGCCTCTTACAGCATCTCACTGATGCTGCTTCCTCTTCCCCTCAGGACAGTCAAGCTGCGGTCACAAGGAAAAAATGGCAGGAGCCTGGTGCAAAATCTACAGCCTTTTCCCCACTTGGCTCTCATTTTTTTAAATTAAAAAGGTCTCTATTGTGCTCATTTACAGGTTTATTTTTTGTATTTCATGCCTCTACTCAGTAGAGTCTACTGTGTGACATGTCTCAATGCTTTAATGTTCAGAAAGCTCTTTATTTTTCTCACACTGCCTGTGCTGCAGCACCTCTTTTCACCCTCTGTCTGAAACCAGAGCTCTGATTGGTTAGCTGGCCTGTTCTGATGTGATGGGTCAATTGGTTAGAGATGTCCTGCCCCTTAGCCTATCATGTACAACAGGGATGGGCAAATGGCGGCCCGGGGGCCGCATGCGGCCCCCACCTCTTATTTTTGCGGCCCTCAGATTAATTTATAAACAACGTAATTAATTAAAATATATATTTTATTTTTTTTACTTGTAGTACACCCACTAGACTCCTAGTTACGTCGTGAGCTGCGTACATGATTTCGTTTGGCAGCCAAATACCGCAAAAATAATCTGTGACGCATTTGTGTGTATTGTGAGAAGCACCGGCTGTTGTTATGCCTGCTGTGACGTTAAGTTGCCTCTTGTAATTATGCCTTTACAAGCTTAACAGTTGTATTTATCATCTGAATTTGGCGAAACAAGTTTAATATTCTAAAAATCAAGACTTTGTTTATTTGAAATCAGATGAAAACAAACTGTCACGGACCCTGCCCAGCCCTGCCGTGTTATCTAGGATTACTACGCTTAACATTCATAATTTCAGCGGGAGGGAGGGGGGGGGCGGCGCTGCGGAACAGCAGAGTGCGGGCTGACAGGTGTCTGTGTTGACATTCCCCTTATTGTGGAATAAGGGGAATGCAGAGACTGGCTACAAGTGTCTTAGGTTCAAGTTAGACAACTAATGTCTGGGGTAGTGTTCATGACTTCATGTTTATGTCATCTTAATGGTTAATCTCAATACACACACATTTTCCGTGCTTTCCAATAGTTTAAAATAGTTTTATTCCACTGTTAAATAACCTGTTCAATACAAACATGCCACTTGTAAAAATGAAATAAGATTTCGTGAACTGATTTGTTTAGTGAGCTTATTAGAGGATATTCCCTGACAGATTGTAAAATGTTAATGAAGATGTCCGACTTAGTATATTTGTTAATAATTACATACAATACATGGAATTTGTGTGTGTGTGTGTGTGTGTTCCAAGTGAATCTGCGGCCCCCTGGTGGCCAGTACATACATTATGTGGCCCCCACCCAGGCCCGGTTCTACGGGGGTGCATAAGGGTGCATTGCACCCTCAGTTGAGTCGTTATGCACCCTCATTTGAAAAATGAAAAGTGAAAAAGAAAAAAGATTAAAAAAAAAAAAAAAGTGAAAAATATTACATATATAATAATAATAATAGTAGTAATGATAATAATAATAATAATTCAGTTGAAATAAATATTTTTTTAATTCTGTTTAAATAACATTGTCTGCTGCATTTATTTGCTCAATTTAAACGGTAAGTAACGTTATTATGTCAGGTGCGCGTGACCTGTGCTGCTGCGCGTTCGTCATCTGCAAGGTGCTTACACAGCAGTCAATGATGGACATCAGAAAATGGTTAAAACATCCAGCCCTAATCAGTAACAGTAACACTGCATCTACTGCAGGTAATAACAGTTCAGATCATGGGGACATTACGTTACCCGCGGCCACTGTCGTGGACACTAACGCCCGACTCGCCGGCTTTGCCCGCCTCGCCCACGGAGGCGGAGCAGCCGCAGCCGTCTTCGTTGCCCCAAACACCGCCACCCCTCAGCGGCCCGCAAGTGCCAGAGGACCTCGGCAAAACAGAGCCTGCCCAGGTATATTTAAAAAAGTACCCAACTTGCCTGTACAGCGGGGTAAGGCGCTCATTTTGCAGCTCATGGTTTCAAAACAGAGATTGGCTGGAATATTCATGTAAAAAAGATGCCATCTTCTGCTATGCATGTAGACATTTCGGTTCAAGTAAGTCAGATGCCTTCACCACAACTGGCTACAACAACTGGCGCCATGCCCTTATAGGCTAGTGATAAGGGACTGGGAAGGCATGAATCAAGCAAAGAGCACATAGATCTCTTAATGTTGCTCTCAAAGTGCACCAGATTGATGCTTTTAACTTCAATATTTACTCTTCCCTGGGGAGCATGCCCCCGGACCCCCCTATAGGAGGTGAGGACCCCACTTATAAAAATAGCACTTTACCACTGCACCCTCTCTAATCTCAGATGCACCCTGAGTCATTTTGTTCTGGAACCGGGCCTGCCCCCACCACCATCAAAGTTGCCTATCCCTGATGTACAATGTGTTTGAGCGCTAGCCAATAGAAGCGCAAGTGTTACGTTATGATGTCATTATGTTGCGGAAGTAAACAAAGGAGTCCAATGGAGGCGTTTCAGGCAGGCAGGTGTGTGGGAGAGAAACTCCCTCTGGAGGGAACACAGGGATTTCAGCCTTTGCAGACCATTTACATGCACACAAACCTATTCAAACCACTAGAGGAAGGGAAAACAAGAAATATTAATAATGCCCGTTATATAAAATATATGGGCTATATGTTAGTGACGTCTTGTTGGTTGTTAATAATCAAGGTAACAAAGAATAGGAGATATATTTAGAAATGGTTTGTGTCTGAGTGAAGTTTGTGGGTCACAATGATGAACTCTACTGGTGTGGAATACATCAGAAAATGAACAATAGCGCTCATACAGTATGTGTGGGAGAGTGAGACTGGGACAAACCCCAGAGCTGTGAGCTAATTTGGTAATTGGACACAATGAAATAAGCTGGCGAATCATCCATTGTACCGCATTTGCAACAGGACAAGGACTTTGCTGTATTAAGCCCATAGCTATTCAAGATAAAGCCATAAATCTACAATGTTTGTGAGGCTTTTAAATCTGTTACTCAGCGATGGAAGACTTAAGAAGTTATGCTTTTAGTTGCGGTACACTATGTTAAAAATGTTGATAGAGCCTAGTTTTTTTATTAAAAGGGAAATATTTTCAAAGCCTGTGAAGAGGTTTTATCAAACACTAATTCCATTAGTAGTAGAATCATGCATTATATTAGTATGATTTGTTCTTTGAGAAAGAGCCAGGAAGAAGAAGCCGTCTCATTGGCAGACCACTAACCCTTTGTCTTTACTTTTACATCCAACCTTCAGAGAGATATCCACTCTGATTCTAACACTCTGGCAGAACAGATGTGTCATAACTCAGTAAGAAAGAATACACACGCAGAATGCTGATTCATAGATGAGATGAGGGCCATATGCGGCCATTTCTGATTCCTAATATGACTGCCAGGCGTTTGCTCAGTTTAGAGATGACTTTGTAACAAAAGCTGGTCCCGTCACAAGGCTTTCTCAGCAGATTAGCACAGTTACTTCAATGTTTGTTATGATGGGGTTTGAATTCATGATGGATGTATGATCACTTATAAAGGCATGTTATTGTCTACAGAATTGAACTACTTACATTGATATGACTGGACGATAAAATTATGCCTCATCCAAGCCTATTTCTGCACTTGCACAATTTTACGAATGTTTTCCTTTATGTATTAAATGAATTGTAAATTGAACTGTTGGAGAGACCTGGGACATAACTTTGTCATTGCCAACGAGAACAATGTGACTGTTGTTCATATGACAATAAAGCCATTAAATCCTCAAATCTTATTCTTCATCTTGAAACCTCTTGAACAAGGTTGAATTTGTCTGTTTTCTGTTTTTAACATATTCAAGTTAAAAAATAAAAGCAGATCATTTTTGCCACAAATTTCTCCCATTTGTTCGGGGAATCTTCTTCGAGACGTTGACCAGCACTAGTTTTTTTTTAGCATAAACACTGGCTAGGACAAAGACCATTTTGAGCTTTGAAAACCAATAAAAGTATATCAAAGTAAATACTGAATCAGACAGGTTGCCAATGCAGAGACTTTTAAAATGGGGTTATGTCTACTCTGTTTCAGTTACGTTTTTATTGAACAGCATAAACAAAAGTCATATCACAACAAAATAATCAAAAAAAGACTAGTTTAAAAGACAAAAGGACAGTAATTAGCCATAAGAAATATATATATGGTTACTATACCGGCTCAGTTCATTTATATCTCTCTCACGCATCAGTAGGTTGAAATATAGTCCATCAATGTATAAAACCGTATGCTATTCTTGCATCAGTGACTGTTGTGGTTGCACCATTGTTGCTGTGGGTGCTGAGGCTGGGATGTCTTCCCTTCATTCATTTTATATTATTGGCTTTCTTTGTTTTGACTGCAATAGAGTGTATTATGGCTCCTTAAAGAATGATACACAGGAATGAGGTAGATGATGAGTGTACGGCCCCTTAAACCGTTTTTCCATCAACATTAGCGAGTATAGGCAGATATAGTTTATCAAAAGAAGAAAAAAATAGGGGAGAGACTAATTTCACATTGCCACGAGACAAATATGCTTTCTCATGTTTTAATGATGTGGCACAGAGAGTTATTTAACAGTGGTATCTTATAATGTATATCCCTTACTCTTTTCAAAGAGGATTGAGTGTGGTGGGAACAGTGGAGAGAAGAACAAAGTGAGTTTTGATGATATTTAGTTTTTGTTGAGTTTGAGTGAAGATCAGCGAGGTTAAATTGTTGTTTTTTCAAACGGAGTCTGGTGGCTTTGATGAGCGTATAATTGTATGTTAATAAAATATAATAATACTATAGCTGTATAACCTATGCAGTTATTTAAATGTGAAATACTAATAAGACGATTCTATCACAATCTGCACCTTTGTTATTGTGTGGGTGTGACACTGGACGACCATCTGTCCTTCACTGCTAACATCGCTTGCAACAACATCAGGAGAATATGTCCCGTGCTCACTCTGAAGGCAACACAGGTACTGGTCCAGGATCGTGTCATCTCAACCTTTGACTACTGCAAGTACCTTAAACCTGTGCAGCTCGTCCAGAATGCAGCAGTTTGACTGGTTTTCAACCTACCCAAGTTCTCCAACACTGAACTACTCCACCCCTGCTCCCTTCTCTGGCTACCAGAGCTGTCTGAATCCGCTTCAAGACACTGGTGGAGGCCTATCACGCTGTGGATGGATTATAGTCAGTAGGCCACTGCGAGTTGGACAGACGAACCCCTCAACAAAAACACGCCTGTTTGCTATCCTGGCTCCAAAATGGTGGAACAAGCTCTCAAGACATGTCAGGACTTCAGAAAGATTACACATCTTCTGTCACAGACTGACAACCCACCAGTTTCAACCGCAACTTTGCTCAAAAAATAATAATAATAAGAATAAGAATAAGAATAAGAATAAGAATAAGAATAATAAGAAGAATAATAAGAAGAATAATAAGAAGAATAATAAGAAGAAGAATAAGAAGAAGAAGAGAAGAAG